CCACTAGATTTGTATCACTGGGGTAGATCCAGAGGCCGTGCAGTGGCACAGCTGCACTCCCCTTTCAGATTGCACTGCACCAGAGGAGCCTCTGGGTACTTCTTAATGTCTCTAAAGCAAGTGAAAATTCACCCTCCCTACCCATTCCTGCTCAAAGGCATGTCCCTTGCCCCTTCCACCCATTCTTCCATCTCCCTCTGTTGTGAAGTGGGGAAACACCAGAGCTGCATGGGGGTGAGCTCACCTGGGGACTGAAACAACAGCAGCAGGGATGGATGCAAGGTTCTCCTTCCCCATGCCTGCTGTTGCCACTGTTCCCTCTCCAGCTGAGTCCAGCCCCCACTAAGCCCAGTTGGCTCTTCAGCTTCCAGACCAGAAGCACTAGAGAAAGCAGCAGCTACAGGCAGAAGGGGGTGAGAAGGAAGGGAAGGGAAGAAAGAGTGAGCCTCCGGGCAGGAAGGGGAAGGGAGGCAGGATTTTTATCCGTTTTAGAGACTTAAAAAAAAAAGTCTGCCCACACCAGTGGGGGAGAGGAGGCTGGGTGGAGTGGCATAGCCACCCCTACAGTGCAGGTTGCTGCTTTTGCACCCCATTTTGGGAAATTCTGGATCTGCCCCTGTGTATTATGTATGTACAGGTCATTAGTCAAATACTTCAAAACTAAAACTAAATTTGGCTTAGTGTGCAAAGGGATTTTGAGCTCAGTCCTTCCTTTAAACACTGGGGGCCAACCTTTTTGGCAGGCATTCTGCAAATAGTCCTGTATCTTCCCAGAGTGCCATTCCAATCTCCATTTCCTGCCCTGCTTTTTGCTCCCTGTCCCATGCTCCTAGCTTGGTCTGCTACTGTTTTCTGCTCCCTACTCTGTCCCTGTCCTCTCTCTGATTTGTCACATGCCACACAGCCTGCCTGTGCCTCAGGTTGGCCACCCTTTCTTTAAACCATTGAACAAGTTCTAAGGCAAGGTTATTTGAAAGTTTGAGATCTCTAGGAGCCATTGAACCCAGTCATTAACTTCAGAATCATCATTCAGATTTCTTTACTAGATGTCATTTTTTTTTTGTAAAAGATAGGGAAGCTTCAAGTTAAATGCAAATACAATTTTAAATGATTTTTCTGGTTAAGTTTACAAGTACAACCTATACAAGATTAAGAAAGTTTAAAACCTCACTAAAATGAAAGACACAGTATCTAGTAGTCAGTCACCTGAAGACAAATGAAAAAGCTTAAAGAAAGTAAAGGTAACTTGATTTAGAGGCAGCAGATACAGTGTAGTTAACTAGTTTTACACAACTTTGCAATAATTCCAGCTTCGTTCAGCATTTTGCAAAGCTAAAAGGTTAAGAACAAAGCCTGATTTTACAATTCTAAGTTCCTGGAAATGAAAAGGGAGCGATCCTTTATAAAACAAAGGAACAAGCACTATGGAATAGATTCCTTAAAACAGAGGGAGCAGCTGTAGGACAAACTCAAGACTGCAACAGTAAATGCAAGATAATATATTTTTAAAAAGTTATTTACATAAAAGGATAGCACAAACAGGACAAATGTAACGTTTCTATAAAAAACAGCAAAACACTTAGTTTAGCAGAGTTTTGATAACCTGAAAGAAAAAATTGTGCACTGGAGTCTGTTCCATTACTAGACAATAGATAGAAAACAATCAATAGAAAACTGCCCTTACAACTTTAATTACACTTGGTTTAGCTTTCCTTGAGGACTATGATCTCTGTCCACCTGCCCAGATGCACTGACATTTCAGTATTGCTACTACATTCCTCATTTTAGAAAGCCAAGTAATACTGAAGCCAGTGTGGGTTAGCTGAGAAAAAAATGCATAATTAGAATTTACCATTAATCTGGAGTTAAATTTCCAAACCAATAAATTACACACACACATCTAAAGAAAGTAGATTGGGGGGGGGGGGAGTTAAGGATTTCAGAGAAGCGA